AAGTGTCAGTGGGAAGCAAATAGTATGCCAGCACCTTTTATGCCAGTGTATCTGGGGAGATGAGAGAAGAATCAGCTTATAGAGGCAAATTCAGAGGTATAATACTTTCTGAAGAGAGTGAGATTTTCATGGGCAGGATATAGAAAGAATGTGAAAAGAGGGGGGCAGAATGAAGAGGCTTTTGCTAATAATAAGTTAGGAGTGCCAAAGAGCACAGTGAAGTTGAAGAACAGATAATGAAAAGGACTTGGGTGTGGTAGGATTAAGGTGGATAGAGTTCAATAAGACATATTTCCTAGCACCGGAAGGGGGTTTTACCCCAAGAGATGACCCTTGATCTCCCAGTAGCATTTACTCTTTATACTAGTGATGTAGCACTTAGCATATTTATTTTACATACTTAACTCTTTTCTCAGCAGTATTTCTCCATGATATAGTCTTCCTATACAAGAGGAGCTTTCCAAGGTGCAGTGTTGGGTCAGAGGCTTCATTATAGGAGGAAGATTGAGGGCTAAAGATGCAATTTCCCTACCTCTGTCTTATTAGAGCCCTCCCTCCCTGCCCTCCAGAAAAGGGGATTGGGACCCTGTAATTTCTTGGCCCTCTTGGATGAAGCAGGTAGGGTAAAGGGCTTTCCATTAGTCACATGGCTAATAATTGTCAGGATTGGGATTCCCCTATCATGTTTGAAGTGCCATGGGCCTCCAGAAAGCTGTCTTTCTTTTGAGGAAACAGAGTACCTCAGTTTCTAGGTACTGTGTGGATCAGAATCCTTTAGAACTGTAGCTCATGAGCCTCTAGTGATATGTTTACTTTTACAGGTCAGTCAGTGTGTCAGGACACACTTAGTTCAAAACAAATATATCTAACACAATTCTGTAGTAATAAACATAGCACAAGAACATTCTCCCCTCTCTTTATGAATACACTTTCATTTGATTTTTTTTTATACCTACATGCAAGATTTTTCACAGAACATTATAGGGATGAGGAATACACACAGCATTAACTTAGGTGGTCAATATACCACTGTAAAGAGATACACATTCAGGGAATATTCACACATAGAGTACAGACATGGACGGGTGAGACATACATCTAGCATCACAGAGCCACTGATGTCTGCTGATGTTGTCACTGTGCTTCTCTTTTCCAGGCCTGCTTACATTTCTGCTTATTTTAGATGGGTATCAGATCTCTGCTTATTTATTCTCAGCTGATCTTCAGCTGTATACCTGTTGCTTCATATTCTGTCCACCATCCACTGGGTATGCTGTGGTTAATAAGCTTCTCTTCTTAGGGAAAGCTTCTGCTTTTTTATCCTCCCACTCTGCTGAATTAGCTCTCTTCTGTAGCTGAAGTGCTGTCTTGGTAGCTACCTGTGTCTCTGGCCACCATCCATTGGGAGGTGCTATTATGGTTAGTAAGCCTCTTCGCAGTTATCTCAGCCAGTGGCTTATTCAGCTGTTCCCATCAGCTAGTCTTCTCTGCTTTTTGGATTTGTTATTCCTCTTCCATCTCCTTTACCTCTGGGTCACCTCTTATATCTAATTTCTGACAAGGAATCCATTATTTTTGCAAGTATACACCAGTGTATTTAATCATTTTTAACCATTATTCCCATTTCTCTTATACTATTTTTCAAAAATAAATTAGTTACTGCTATTTTTTTTATATCACCTAGATTTCCCACTGTAGCCCCTCTTTAATGCTTTCCTAGAAAACCATTTATTCTTTAAAGAATAAAGATAAGAACAGGGGTGGAGGGGGGGAATTTAAGCAAAAATAACCAACATACCAAAAAACATTATATGCAATGCCCTCCTCCAGCTCTGCAGATAAGTTTGAATGTCCATTAATATCTCTTCGCTGTGCCCAAAGAAGCTTGATCATTGTAATATCACAACATTTGCATTTTTATTGTGCCCTGGATGTTCTTTCTGTTCGCCTTGTTGTAGTCGTGTGGTATGTTGTTTTCTTAGTTCTGCTCACTTCACTTTCTGTTGCTTCATTTGTCTTTCTGTGATTCTCTGTATTCATATGATTCATAGTTTGAGCATCTTGTTGTGTAGTGATATTGCAGTACAGTCACTTACTTACTCAGTGATCCCCACATTGATGGCCATCTACTTTACTTCCATTCTTTGCTACTACAAAAAAAATGTCACTATAAATAGTTTGGTGTTTGTGTGGACTTTCTTTTTGTTATTGATCTCCTTGCTGTATGTGCCTCACAGTGAAATCTGTGGGATGAAGGGAATGGACATTTCAGTTACTCTGTTATCAGTTCCAAATCCTTTCCAAACTAGTTGGACTAATTCACAACTTCACCAAGAGAACATTAATGTGCCTATCTTTCTACGGTCCTTCCAGCATTGATTATCTATATCTTTTGTCATCTTCTGTCATCTTTTTCAATTTGCTGAGTATGGGGTGATACCTCAAAGTTGTTTTGATTTGTACTCCCCTAATTATTAGGGAGTTGGAGCATTCTTTCATATGTTTAATAGTTTGCAGTTCTTTTGTGGATTATTTGTTCATATCCTTTGATCACTTATCTATTGGGGAATGGCTTTTGGTTTAATATATTTTTATTGGTTGTCTATTTGTCTTGGATATGAGACTCATATCAGAGATATTTGATATAAAGATTTTTTCAAGTTGACTTCTTCCTTTCTTATCATAGTTACATTGGTATTGTTCATGCAAAAGCTTTTCAATCGACATTCAAAGTCTTAGCTTCCTGTGGCACTTAGAGGTTAAGTATTAATTGTACTTTCATTCATAGTCATACTCCCTGTTCATGGTGTGATGGTATATTCCTTCTAGTTTCTCCTTCTACCATCATCACTCAGCAACCTCTCTTCCTTTGAAAAGGAGACACACTATTCAAATTTATCCCCCCATATAGATCGTCATAACTGTTCTCTATCTACCAGTTTCCTTGGGGCAGTTATCTGTTGACACTGGCACATTCTCATTCATTCCTCAATGAATGCAGTACCTAACTCTCCTCCCCAACTTCTGTCCTCATAATAGAGGACTTCAGTGTACATATTTTTCACCCTCAAATACACAAAACTTTCCATTTCCTCAGTCTACTAAATTCTCATGATCCAGTCCTCTAATCCTCCTAAGCTATACACAGTGATGTCCGTATACTTGCTTTTCCCATCACCCACAAGTGTTCTCCATCTATATCCATGAATTATGAAATTACTTTATCTACCATCCTTTATTATTACTTCAACTTTCCCTATTTGTTATTACCCCATGCCCTATTCTTGATCCTTACCATGATCTTCAATCCATCTACCTCTCAGTTCTTTCTCAGACCTGGAAACTGGCAACACTGACCTTCCTTCCTTACCTTGACTCCTTGGTAAATTATTTCAACCCTGCATTATCCTTTACACTTGAATCACTTGCCACTTTGTCTTAATCACTACTCCTACTTTGCCAAACCCCAACCTTTGATTACTTCACCTATCCTGCCTACTTTACTCCTATTCACATGTTGAACGGAACTGGAGAAAATCACAAAATCCTGCTAACTGGGTCTACTACAATTTACCTTACTCTCAACTGGACACTGTAGGAAAGCAATCCTTTTACACCTCCCCAATAGATTCACTATTTCACTCATTCATCATAGCAGCTATGCCAAACCTTTTCATCTGTTCTCTAATCTTGTGTGACCCTCTACTCTCTCAGCTGAGGACCTTACCTCATACTTCACCCATTCACTAAGAGCTCTCTTTTCTCTGCTGCTCATCTCATGACTCTCAAACATCTTCCCCCACTATCTCCTCTATCCTGCATCCTCATCCTTTCTTCTCTAGCAGATTGCCCCAACACTCTCTCTCTCTCTCTCTCTCTCTCTCTCTCTCTCTCTCTCTCTCTCTCTCTCTCTCTCTCTCTCTCTCTCTCCCTCCCTCCCTCCCTCCATCCCTATTTCCCCTACCCACCTTCTCTTTCCTTTTCCCTCTCCCTCCTACCCCCATCTCTTCCCTTCAACTATGACACTTCATCTTAGTACTCTGTGCTTTTCACTAGCCTTTTCCATGCCTGGAATTCTCTCCCTTCCCATCTCTGCCTACTGGCTTTCTTCAATACTCAGCTCAGATTTCACTTTCTTTAGGAAGCCTTTCCCAATTCCTCCTCCACTACTAGTCCTTTACTTCCATGTATGATGTATGTAACTGGTTTGCACAATTTTTCATGTGTTATCTCCTTAGGATGTGAGCTCCTTGAGGATGAGGACTTTTTCCTCTTTGTATTCCTGGCACTTAGCACAGTGTCTGCCACATAGTAAACACTTAATAAATGCTCATTGACTTTCTAAATGACTTATTCACAGTCACACAAGTAATATGTGTTAAGTGAGACTTGAACTCAAGTCTTTCTGATTCTGAAACTGATTTTACTCACTATGCCATTGTACTTCTCTTTATCGTTTTTTTTTTGGGTGCAATAATCTTCAATTAAATTTTTTTAGCTATTCCCCTAGTTGTTGGACCTAAGAAATGGATCTGGTAAAACAAAACAACAACAGCAAAAAAGTCATTTGGTTTTTTTTTGAAGTGGAGAGAGGAGGACAAAATGAATTTTGCAATTGACTATTAAAAATATACACTGAGTATATTCAGATACTCATATACATTTAATTTAAATAACCCCCTAGGAAAGATTTTTTTTATACTGTCACTTAGATCAACTAAAAAAATTATTTTTTCTCTAATAAGATTGTGATTTTTAAATTTTACACATTTTAAAAATTTAGTACATAAAAATTATGGAAGAATCATTTTGTGCATATTGTGTACCTGATATCAGCAGTCATCATAATAAATTTAAAAAATTAACCTGTAAAGTTAAATGAATTCCTATATTTTATACAGTCAAAATGAATTAACCTGCTTTCCCAGTAATTGGGTTTTTTTTTCTGCTATATACAGTATCAAATGTTTTGAGTCGATCTTTATGTATTTTCTTCGTAGATAAGAATTTGACAGAGGCACAATCTAATTTTGGACTGTGGGGAGATGGCAGAGGTGAAGATGAGTTGTCCCCAGAAGAAATACAAGTGGTAATTTTATTCTATATTTTGTCATTTATTTTTAACAAATATTTGGAAGAGAATAGAGCATTAAGTAAAAATTCTTAAACATGATTTTCCTTTTATATTGAGTAGATGAATAATAAATGTTTTAGATAAAAGCTTCTACTTGGTTTTTAAATTTTTATTGTGTGATTAGAATTAAACCTTCTCTCCCCTGAGGCATTATTATGTCATGGAGGTGACCCTAGGCTCTTGAAGGCTATACTAGTGGAACAATAGCTCCAGCAAGTCCTGTCAAGCTAGATAGGCTTTGAACTACAGGCCTGATGATCAGTCCTGTATGTGTTACTCAAAGATCAGCCTATTGATTGTGGAGAGGCTCATCACTAATGATTTGTTTATGGGGTGATGAATTTTGTGACACAGAATGCATCATGTAGCCATGTGATCTGCATTGGTAGTGGGAGAACCATATCAATGAAATCAAAGATCTTTTGTAGTATAGTGGTATAATTAAAATGGTACCCTCTGTAGGATTATTGTACTAATAATATATGACTTCTTAACAGTAAAATATTCTTCCAGTTTAAATGGTTCTTGCTGCTGTTACTTTTTAATTGATTAAATTGTCTTATATTGATAATGTGAAAAAAGAGTAAGTAATGTTTGGATAATTAAAAACCCACATATATTTATTTTAAGTGTGAATTTTAAATTCTTTTATCTCTATTCTCTGATTATTAATTAAGTTCATATCTTTTGGAAGCTTTTGCAGAACAGAAATCAATAGCACTGCCAGCAAGAGCGCAGTTTTAGGTATTGTGTTAGCTTTTTAAAAATCATGTGCCTTTTTATACCTCATTCTTGCACTGATAGAGGAAAAAATATCTCTAATTAATCTAACTGTGGTTAGGAACAGATATTTACTAGACAAAAGATTGTCAGTTGAATTAATGTCCTAAAGACTCACCAAGCACAAAAGATACAAAGGTAAATGTGATATAGCCCCTTCCCTCAAAGAGTTTACAATCTATCAAGGGAAAACAACATGTATATATACAGAGTTAGATATAAGATAATTGGGGAAGAAGGCAGTAGCCACTGTTTTCATGTAGAAGGTGGTGCTTAGGCTGAACTTTGAAGAAAGTTAATGATTCTCAGAAGCCTTGATGAGGAAAAATGCATCCCAAGCACTGAGGAAGAAGGACCATCTGGCTAGTCCATGGAATTGCAGGCAGGAAAATAATAGAATGCCAAGATTAAGAACTTGGGGAAGAGAAGAATGTTTGTGTCTTGTACAGAACTAGGAAAATTCAGAAAGAGGAGGAAGATAATGAGGTCAGTTTTGTATATGTTACAGTTGAGATGGCTGTGGGACATTGAGTTTGAAATCTTCAATCAGCAGTTTATGATGTGAGACTGACATTCAAAGGAGAGATAACTGGACATGTAGATCTGGTAAAAATCTGTATAGAGATGATAATTGCCCCTGTAAGAGCTGATAAGATCACTAAGTGAGAAAATTTTATAAAGAGAAAAAAGAAGAGAGGCTAAGACAGAGTCTTGGGCTATTCCCAAAATTAATGGGTATTGACATAGATGAAAAATAGTCTGTCTTTTCTCAGCAAAGTCTGAGGCAAGGTCCTTAGCTGAAAGGGTTGGAGGAGGGAGTTGTAGTTGTATTTATCAAGGAATCACTTATGGTCTCAACAGATTCATGGATTACATTTTGTTAAAGGAGAACTTTTAAGATGGAGTGTAGTACTATGCTTTTTTACAATCCACAACCAATAAACCCAGCAGGATCTGGCATTTTCTAAACCTTTAAGTCAGTCAGTAGGGATAGTGGGAGGAGGCAAGAGAAGGGGAAGCCTATTTGTTTCCTCCTCATTTTCATTATTGATACTCTCAATATGTGCATGGGTCATTTTCATAAAAATTTCATTGCGACAAGAAAGTTGTCATGTAGCTGTAGATAATTATTTATTTTGGCTGCCAGCTAAAGTGGTAATGTGAAAATGTCCTAGCTGAACTCACCTTCCCCAGAATAGATTTAATAAGGCACCAGATGAGATGGTGATTACTAAGAACAAAGAAAAGCATGAGTAAGTTCCTCCATATAGTCCAAGACTGTAGAAGAAAACATCCAGAAGTCTATGGGCCCTCTGAGTAAGAATATTCCAGGAGAATTGCAGGGGAGAAGAACTGGGGAGCTGGAACCTGCCTTGTTTGTTAAATGGAAAGTGAATCCCCAGCCCATCAGAGCTGCAGCAGCATTTGGGCACCCTATGAGGCTTGAAGGTACTTACTGTACTGTTGGAGGTACAGCAGGAGGCAAGGCCAGCTAGTGGTGGGTGAATAACTGGGAGGAAAGATGGCGCAACACCTAGAAAGTCAGTTCTAGGCAGCCTTCTGGGAAGCCTTAGCTTAGCACATCTCCCTCATCCAGTCAGGGCCATAGCCAGAGACAGAACCAACTTCTAGTCAGTAATTACATGTGGAGAATGGGAGAGAAATTGGGCCAAGGTCAGCATTTGTATTAGCAACCATGAGATAAGGCAGAAACTAGGGAATGCAGCTGAAGGCAGGGCCTGGTCCCAGTCATTCTGTCCAGGACAGTAGGGCAGCACCAGTGACAACCAGATGGGTAGGAACTGTGAGAGGATAGAACCCAGTTCTTCTATTAAATTTCAAGCCAGGAACTGAGGCTAGACATGTGATTAAACAGAAATTTGAATACAGTGAAGGTGAAGAGAAGTCAAAGAAGTGAACTAGAAGAGAGTAACTCCACAGTCAGTATAAGTACAACCTCAAGAAAATAAAATAATTTTTGGCTCCAAGGACTTTAAGAGTGAGAGTGTTGCAGTCTGAGAGATTTTGACCCCTCAAGAACCATAGTATAGCACAGGGTCATCTAGAATGAATTCACAGACTCAAACATTCTTTAAGTCAAGGTGGCAAAGATTTATTGTTACACTATACAGCGGGCAAGGATTCTCAAGGAACTTGTCACAGTATGCAGAGCTCCTTAGGGACTTGCAACTAACAGGAATGATGCTGAAGTTTATATAGGAAAAGTAATGGATTATGTGGCAAATATGCTAATTAGGTGATAACCTACAACCTTAGTCACAGGAGTCATTCCCTACTGGAAACCAGGGAGGGGGTTTCCTAAGGGGTGTGCTTTTGGTCTGTCATGTTTGAAACAAGATAGCTCAAGGAACTGAGGTCTATAGCTTGACCTCTGGGTTGTATATGGTAACTGTGGGCATTAGTACTTGATAGTTCTAATGGTATAAGATAGTTTTGTTCATACAAGGGAAATTCTACAGAAATCAGCTTGTTCTTGTAACAGGAAGAGATAGTTTGTCTCACTAGGCCCACTCATGAGTTATTGACAGAGATAGGGTCCTTGGGCTGGAGGAAGGCTTCCAGGGATAGTGTTTCTGAGGCCAAGGAGAAATTGGGGTCCCAGCAGAGGCACCCAAGCACTCCATCAGGAGGATAGATAGATAGAATGAGTGAGCAAGCTAGCATTTATTAAGTGCTTACTGTTTGTTAGGGTCATGTGCTAGTGATAGAAATAAAAGCGAGTAAAACAATCCCTATCTTCAAGGAACTTACATGCTAATAGGGGGAGGACAGCACATAAAGTGGTACTGGAAAGCAGGGTGGGGAGGAAGAGGACTCACATGAGGGCATGGGGAAGTGACTGCATCAAGTTATGTAGAGTACTGGGCCCTGATAAGATAAGGCAAAAAGCTCCCCTGTCAGAGCTGTTGGAGCCAGGAGCTCCATGTTTCTAAATGAAAAGTTCAGGATTCTCAATGAAAGAAAATGAAGTAAATGAAATTAGAGTTCTTAAAGAAAGATTTGGAAGCAGAATAGCTTGGAATAGAAGACAGAAAACTTTACCTAAGTAGTAGACTCAATAATGAAAAAATAGAGCAAATGGAACAAAACTCGATGATTCAGTTAGACAACAAATATTAGAATAGAATCAAAAGACTAAAAAGTTTGAAGAACATATATCTACCATCAAAAACAACTGACCTGAAAATTAGATTGAAAGGTGGTAATTTTAGCATCACTGGACTCCCTGAAAACTATAACCAAATTTTAAAAAATGGATGCCATAATTCAAGAAATCATAAAAGGAAACTGCCCGGATTTGTTAGAAATAGAGGGAAAGTGAAAATAAGAAGAACCCACCAGTTTTCCAATAGAAACACCAAATTAAAACACAAGAACTTCATAGCCAAACTCTAGAGCTTTCAGTTCCAAGAAAAAATACTGCAAGCAGTCAGAAGGAGTTCAAGTAACAAGCAGTCAGAATCACTCAAGACTATGCCACAGCAACCTTGAAAAAGAGGAAATCATGGAATATATTTCAGAAGGCTAAAGAAAAATATTTAAAATCAAGAATAATTTATCCAGACACATTGATTATAATTCTACAGGAGAAAATGGACCTTTATTAAAATAGAGACCATTCAAACATTCCTAATGAAAATACCAGAGTTGGGTATAATCTTTGAAATGCAAAAAGACAAAAGAAACCTAGAAAGGTAAATACATTTGAAGAAATGGAAGGGGCTAATGATGACCACATGTTCATATTCTAATAAGAATCTCATTCTTTTTGAGCATCATTTAAGAAGTCAGAAAAGAAATATGCACATAGGGTGTCGTTTTGTTCTGTTTTGTTTGTTTTAATAGAGGAAATAAAAGAGAGGGGGAAAGGAATATACTAGGGAATTGATGAGGCTTTTGGGAAAGAAATTTACTATTTCTCATAATTGAGATGTGCCAGAAGAATATTCCAACACAGAGGAAGTGAAAGTAGATATCTCATGAACTCTTCACTCTTATCTGCACTGTGCAAAGGAAGGGTGAATGCATACAGAGAAGCTGATATAGAAATATATTCAGTTAAACAGGAAAGTAGGTAGGGATAAGCAGAGGGTTGTTTAAGAAAAAGGATAGAGTTAGGGATGGAGTAGTCACAACACAAACCAGCTTTAGAG